TTTTTTTCTTTAGCAACAAACGACGGGTCACCGACTGCACTCTTATTATCTCCGCAAAGACGCCCTGTACAACCCCGCTAGCCGGTCCACGACATTCCCGAAAAAGAAAAAACACTCGCTAAACGACAAAAGACTACACGTCGCTAGCCGGTCCACGACATTCCGCAAAAAGAAAACACTCGCAAAACGACAAAAGACTCCATGTCGACTCAGCCAACCTGGGAGCCAACTAGCATAGCACTTTCCAGAATGCATCTTTCGGCCACACCTGTATGCATCTGGCCAGAATTCCGTCCCAAAGAAGTAAAGAAGTCCTAGTGTGAATATGCCCCACGAACGGTCAGTCTCGGCGCTTTCGGAGGATGAGCATAGCATACTATTGGGGCCTCCCCCTTATACGGCATTTGAGCATATATAGAGGCGCGCTGCCGAGGTGACTTGTGCCCTTCGCGGCGGACTTGTCTACCTTGGCGATACAGCGGGCCCGCCTTCAGCGCGCGCACAGTCGAATTTCACCTCGCAAAGGACCGGCAGCTATGGCTATGGCTATGGCTATGGCTATGGCGGCTTGTGGCCGGTGTACAAGACTGTCAGCAAGGACCGCGGGGAGCTTGTTGTTGCTGTCGATTTTCTTGCCGCTGGCAGTAGGTTACGGATTAAACGATTTTTTGGCGGCGCTCAATAATCAAGACATCGGTTATCACGAAGTGCAAGGGGACGTGGTTCTCAACGGCTCTTTGCCAGACATCACGGGGAGGAACCTCACGCTTGTGGGCAGAGCGCCACGTGGCGGGCGTCCAGTGATTGACGGAGCCTCCAAGTACGGTGGATCGCGCTCCATGGGGCTGACCTTGAAGAACTTAGAATTTATCAACTTCAATGGAACGGTTCCTATTTTCAGTTTGTTGGGTAACGACATCGACATTGAGGACTGCGTTTTTCGCGCGAATATTGCGACCGGCGGGAGTTCGAGCGCTGTCGTCTCCATCCAGGGCGGGAACGTGAAGATCTCCCGCTCTTTCTTCATCGGCAATCAGGTGTCGGCAAATGGTATGTCGGCGAGCGGCGGCGCTGTGTATTCAATGAGTGCCGGGAGGGTGGTGATCGAGAGCACGGTCTTTCGCGACAACCAGGTGACGGGAACGAGAGGCCTGGGAGAAGGAGGCGGTGTGTATTTGCTCTTCGCGGGCCTTTACACCATCAGCAAGTGCACATTTGACGGCAACCAGGTTGATGGGCTCGGGGGCGGAATGGCGGCGCTGGGTTCCTCGCGGGGGGAGATCGTGGGTTCGAGCTTCTTGCGCAACTCCGCCTACTCCACGAAACGAGCTTACAAGTCGTACGCAACTGGCGGGGCCATCGATATCTACGGTGACAACGTCACTATCATCAGCGGGTGCACGTTCACAGGAAACAAGGCAGAGGGCAGGCGAGGAGGAGCCGTGTCCCTGTCGATGTATCAGGCGGAGGCCACCATCTCCGGCTCCAAGTTCGAGCAGAACGCTGCTGGGAAATACGGTGGCGCTGTGGGTGTGCGACTCGTGCCCCCAAGCTTGGAGGAGGGCAAGCGTGGTGTTATACTGTACGAAGGCGGGCCTCCGAGAAGTAAGGTGAAGTTCTGTGGAGGGAACACGTACTCGAGGAACGTGGCGGGGACTTCAGGCGCGGAGAACATATACGTGGACATGCGCAACAGCTCGGTGAGCGGAGTGACGTTCTGTCCGAGCGAGCCTCCCCTTGCTCTGATCGAAGCGGAGACTGGAACGGTAAACATCACCTGCGCATCCTGCTGAAGGGAGGGAGGTTGGGCGGGGGTGGGGGGAGAGTGTTGCACTTGCGTGGATTGCTTCCCCCTAACCCTCGATCTTCATGTTGTTTATGTATGTACAAGATCGAATCTGATAGACAATACTCGTATCATACACCAACACTCGTGGAAATTGCGGCATGGCTCGTGGTGAAAGTCGGTGAGCCGGAGCAACCTCCTCCGAACGGCTCGGGTTGTACAAGGTCGCTGGATGAAGGAGAAGAGAAGGCGGCTGGGTTCGACATCTCCTGTGTAGAAAGAGAAAGTGAGTCCTTTGTCTGTCGTTGGGCTTTAGCAAGAAGACTACGATGATGACGTACATCTCGGAGAGAGATAAATGACGTACATCTGGGAGAGAGATAAATGTCTAGAAATTCGCTTCGCTTCGCAGGGCGCTGTCATGGTTTCAGTTTGAAAATGCGCTTCAGTGAACGACCGTTAATCACGATTTTGCGAATGTTTGTGCCGAAGTGGCGAAAATCGTGAATGTACACCACCTACATTTAAGGTTGAGGAGGGATGTGTCGTATTCGAGGGATGCCGGAACTGGATTTTAAACTGAAATCGTGACTGCTTCTTTAGCAGATGAAATGACTCCGCACTTGAAAAGAAGAAGAAGAAGAAGAAGAAGAAGAAGACGAAGAAGAAGAAAGAAAAAGAAAGAAGAAAGAAGAAAGAAGAAGAAAGAAGAATGACTACGATGAGTGCAGACACGGTGTGTTGCCGACTCATGGCGTTTCTCCCCACGAGGAGTGATTTCTTGTGTGGCACGACGGTTCGTTAACCCTCACAATGCGTTCCTTTTCCTTTTTTTTTAAGTGTTTTCTTTCCTTCTTTTGAAAGGGCGATAGTCTTGAGATATCATCCATGGACTGACGCGCCCCAGGTAAATTCAGAGTTGTTTTCACTCATCTGATTGCATTTTTGGATTCGAACTACCTCAGCTAGTAGGGGTCTGTATTTCAACAGTTCATGGGTGTACCCCCAACTGACCGAGGGCAGTCGGTGGTTCATTCCTGCGGAGATCTTCACGCTCAAGTCCCACCAAAAGCATGTCCAATTAACTGTTTTTTTATTCCTTAGATTGAGATGAAGATAATATTATATATTTTTTCGAATAGTAGGAGGTGTAAAGATTGAATAGACAGCCCCACCACCGATGCAGTCGACCTCGGTACCTTCGAATGTGCAATTAGTGATCGTATAAAGATTGGCACACTAAATAGACATTCCACCACCTTCTCCCACGCCCGATGGTTGCGTCCGCTTGTTGTTGTGAAAGACCGTGCTGTCGATCACCACGCTGCTCGCAAACAATCAAGACACGGCAGCGCCGCTCCCTCCGAATCCCACGACCTGATTATCGAGGGAAAAAGAGCGGGAGATCTTGAAGTTGACGTTCCCGCCAAAAACTTCGATCGTCGAGCCCTTAACTCTTCCTCTGTTGCTGCGGAAAACGCAATCTTGAATATATGGATGTCATTCACATTGAAAATAGATCCCTTTCCGCGGACGTTGATTAATTTTAATGATTAATTTTAGGGTTAATTTCAAAAATATTGCTGTTTCGATGTTTGGCAGCAAAAATGACGTCCGTTCGAAGTTTCCTTTGCAAAAATAGATGTTTCGTTGCAGCTTCATCGGGTTCCCGTAGTTTGCCAGCAAAAATACCGCGTTTGGCCAAGTTTCACAGCAAAGGACCCCTAGGCCCCTGGACTCAGGGACTCAGGGACTAAGGGACTCAGTGTTCCGGCCTCAGGCACTCAGTTTTTCTCTTCTTTTTTTTTTTTTTTTTTTTTTTTTGTTTTGTTTTGTTTTGCGGGCGTGGCCTCATCTCGGCCGTGGCGACGGCAAGATGCCTCGGCCACGTTTCTTGTTTTTGTTTTTTTTGTTTCTTTTTCACGGCCGTGGCCGAGGCATCTCGGCCGTGGGCACGCCCAGATGCATCGGCCATGCCCCAGGGGGGAAAAAAAAAGGGAATATTTGTCTGGCGCCCCTGTATTTTGCATTATTTTGCGTCGAGGGGCCGGTTTACCCTGTCGTGCCCCTCGGCCAAAAAATATTTTCAGCAGCAGGCCCTTGTCGGTGGTGACCGCAACTTTCCAGGAGGCCCTCCTTCGACTGGCGGTCCCATTTCTGTCGGGCCCTGTGCCATATGCCCTCGTGAAGGGAAGCCATCTTTCTGCAATGCCCCCACAGACGTGAGGCGCTACAAATTCAAATTCGATTTCAAACTGTGCCCTTCTTGACGCGGCCGCTACGGGGCCGCCACAGAGAAGCTGGTGGATTGCAACCTGTCCTCTGCATGCTTGATGTTTTCGTGTGGGGGATCACACGTGGGTGCCACTCACCTTCTCTGTTCTCAGTCTCCTTTGTCTTCATATGTCCACTTCCCTGCGAGTGTGTGTGTGTGTGTAAGAGAGAGAGAGAGAAAGGGTGAGTTGGTGACTTCTCTCTCTCTCTCTCTCTCTCTCTCTCTCTCTCTCTCTCTCTCTCTCAGTTAGAAGTTGCAAATAGGGAATGAATCTTCCCGTGTTTGTGGAGATATACGTTCAGGTATTGCAAATTGCTGGCGCTCAAAGTAGTCACGGGAGAGAGAGAGAGAGAGAGAGAGAGAGAGAGAGAGAGAGAGAGAGAGAGAGAGAGAGCCACGGCGAGTTTGCCGTGGCACTCTGCGCAGCTCGCCGTGCATCTCTCTCTCTCTCAGTTCGAAGTTGCACATAGGGAATGAATCTTCCCGTGTTCGTGGAAATATACGTTCAGGTGTTGCAAATTGGTAGTCACAGGAGAGAGAGAGAGAGAGAGAAAGAGAGAGAGAGAGAGAGAGAGAGAGAGAGAGAGAGCCACGGCGAGTTTGCCGTGGCACTCTGCGCAGCTCGCCGTGCATCTCTCTCTCTTTCTCTCTCTCTCTCTCTCTTTCTCTCTCTCTCTTTCTCTCTCTCCCTCTCTCAGTTCGAAGTTGCAAATAGGGAATGAATCTTCCCGTGTTCGTGGAAATATACGTTTAGGTGTTGCAAATTGCTGGCGCACAAAGTAGTCACAGAGAGAGAGAGAGAGAGAGAGAGAGAGAGAGAGAGAGAGAGAGAGAGAGAGAGAGAGAGATGGCTTTCAGTGGGGGCATCCTGAAACTTTTACCGGCCATCCGTAGGGGCATGCCGCAAATCAGGGGTGTGACGAAAAGATTTGAGGCCCAAAAGACACCAGGGTCTTATGGAAAATTTGAACCCTGCTCAGAGGGGTGCGACAGGGTAAACCGGCCATCAGAGGGGCGCGACTCGAAATAACACAAAATACAGGGGCGCCAGACAAATTTTCCCAAAAAAAAAACAAACGCCGAGGGTAAAAAAAACAAAACGCTCAGAACCTCTGGCCAGAACGCTGAGTCCCTGAGTCCCTGAGGCCAGAGGCCTAGGGGCCCTTTGCTGTGAAACTGGGCAAAACGCGGTATTTTTGCTGGCAAATTATGGGAACCCTATAAAGTTGCAAAGAAACATCTATTTTTGCAAAGGAAACTTCGATGGACGACATTTTTGCTGCCAAACTTCGAAACAGCAATATTGTTGCTATTAACCCTTAATTTGAAGATTCACTTTAAGTGACCTCGTTAGCCTCTTAAGTTGGACAAATTGAATGCTCGTTCCTGCGAGATCCGATCGAACTAACTAAACGAAACGAAACTAGCCAGTGGTGACTCAGATGCAGACATAGAGTATAAAATTGTCACATCATCCACAGGTAGAGTGGGTAGGGCGCCGTTTAAGTTCCGCTCTAAGGCCCCGCTCTAAGGCCCCCTACCCCCCCTCTAAGGCCCCCTACCCCCGCTCTAACCCCGTTCTACCTCTTTTTCTCTCTGTCTAACCCAGTTTGGAAAAATATGCGAGTGGTTGGAGGCTAGGACTAGGGCTCCCCACTCAGAAAAAGACAAAAAGAAAACACAGACACCTTTATGCCCAACAATCCCCAACACCCCACCTCCTACCCATGGAGAACTCTCTCTCTCTCTCTCTCTCTCTCTCTCTCTCTCTCTCTCTCTCTCACACACACACACACACACACACACACACACACA